TAGCACAGTTGGTTTGATCTTGCTATTGCGTTTTTTCTGTTTAAATCTTTACGAAATTTTTATGCCAGCTTTGACATTTCCTAGCAGCGGATTTCCCTTTGATTTCGTCAAAAAATTCGTAATATAAACCACTGATCTTTTATGTCCAAACTGCTAGATGCACTGCAGAATTCCAGCCGCATAGCATAGTTTGTTTTATCTTGCTATTGCGTTTTTTCTGTCCAAATCTCTACGAAATTTTTACGATAGCTTTGACACTTCCTAATAGCGGATTTTCATTTGGTTTTGCCAAAAAATTCTCAATATAAACCACTGACCTTTTACGTCCAAACTGCTACACTTTAGACGTAAAAATCTGCTGCAGTACCTTTCCGTGATCCTAAATTTTTCCGAACCTTCCACCACCCCATGCCATTAACTCGTCAACAGAAAAAAGATAGGGACATCTCTAATCTACAAGCATATGCTATGGCTTCTCAAGATCCAATTGATGCTAAATGTGAAGCATAGGAATCTCAGATTGAATCACGGTTTGAATCGCGCTTAGAGGACAAATTACGCGCTTTGTTTGCAGAATTCAGAATTGGACAACCGCCGAGTCCAACCAAATTTCAGCAAGGAGAGAGTTCAGAGAGGCCCCTAGAGAAGGTGGGACAACCCTCGAATATGCTTTAGCCACGCATGAGGGTAGACTTCCCACGATGGAAAGAACGAGACCCGACGGGGTGGATTTCGCGCGCCGAACGTTACTTTCGCTACTACCGAACATCGGATGATGCTATGGTGGAAATTGCTGTCATCCACCGTGAAGGAGATGCTATTCAATGGTACAACTGGCTAGAATACAATCATGGGGCTCCGACGTGGAATCAATTTAAGAACGCACTGCTGAATCGTTTCGGACCTACGGAGTATGAAAATATCAATGGTCAACTCGCAAAGATTCAACAAGCCTCTACGATTCAAGAGTACCAAACTAGGTTTGAGAAGCTATCCCACCTTGCTTGTGATTGGACTGACCGTCAATTGTTAGGAACATTCATCGAAGGACTCAAGCCAGAGATAAAAGGGGAGGTTAAGGCGCGGCAGCCCCGTACCATGACAGCTACGATTTCTTTCGCCCAAATGCAAGAAGAACGACTCAACCAAGATGCTCGGAGGATGAGAACCTCTCCTAGGCCCTAGGCATATAAACCTCCTTCTGCTCCCAGTCATTCTTCGCTGGCAAAAAAATTAACAAGAGAAGAACTACGTGACCGATCAGCAAAGGGTCTTTGTTGGCATTGTGACGAGCCGTGGAACCGTGATCATTGCTGCAAAAGGGGCCGCCTCCTACTGATTGAACCTCTTGAAGACATGGAGGAGGTCCAGGAGCATGAGGAAGAGGTCACGGATAAAGAACAACAGCCGGTCGATATTACGATGTGTGCCCTTGCTGGTTACGCGAACCCGCAAACGATGAAAGTGGGAGGACTTCTGAAGCAACAACCTATCACCGTTCTTATTGACACCGGGAGCACTAATAATTTTATGAACAACAAGGTTGCTGTTCGGATGGCCTTACCTATCGTGAACTGTAGCAGGTTTGACGTTAAGGTCGCCGACGAACGAATTTTGAAGTATGATCATAGGTGCCCGCGGGTGAAACTGTTGTTGCAGGATCAAGAGATAATTGCAGATTTCTTCCTCCTCCCTCTTGATGATTATGAGGCCGTGCTCGGCATCGAATGACTGACGACATTAGGTGATGTTTCCTGAAATTTTATGAAACTAATTATGAAATTTTATAGTAAGGAGAAACAGGTGATACTGCACGGGAAACGTGGGGACAACGTAACGATGATTTGCACACAACGAATGGAGAAGGTTTTGCACAAAGCATGCAGCGGCTTTTTGGTACAACTCAGTGATTTAAAAAGCGCTAGGCGCCAAAAGGCGTCAAGGTCCAAAAACGCCCGAGGCGCTAGGCGCTTGCCCAGGCGCTCGCCCGAGCGAAGCGAGGCGCTACAATATAAAAATATATAATATAATTAATAAATATAATTATTTAAAATTTTAAATAAAAATATACTATTAAATTAAGAAAATCTAAGATACAAAATCACAATATCACATTAACAAAAAGTTTCAAAATTCAAAACAATAAAATTTTACATCAAAGTCATTTATGTTGAAACCTAGCAATAATTTCAAATAAATAAAAATTAACAACATTAAAATCAAAATAATATATTATTAATCTATTAACAGTATTGAAAATTAATCATTTTAAAATTCAAATAAACTTAATATTAAGAGTATACTGTATACTGAGGCTGACGGAGAAACGAGGAAGCAGCGGCGAACGGCGGCAGCGGCAGCGGGAAAGGGAAAGGGAGTGGGAGGCGCGAGCAGCGGGAGGGCTCGCGGGAGTTGCGAGCAGCGGGAAGGCTCGTGGGAGGGCTCGCGGGAGGCGCGAGCAGCGGCAGCGGGAGCAGGAGCGACGAGCAGCGAGATCGGGAGCGGCAGCTGCAACGGGTTAGGGTTTGGTAAGGGTTATATCAATTTAGTTGGTTCAATCGAACCAACTAACAACCGAACCAGGACCGAACCAGACCTAAAATCCTGGTTCAGTCACTTGGTTTACCCAGGCGCTCGCCCGAAGCGCCCAGCGCCTGGGCTCGGGCGAGCGCCCAGGCGGCGCCTGTTTGAAGCGCGCCGCCTGGGACATTAGCGAGGCGCTCGGGCCTCGCCTCGCCTCGCCCGAGCACCTAGGCGAGCGCCCGAGCGCCTCTTTCAATTACTGGTACAACTTGAGCAACAAACTAAGGGAGAGCCAATATAATTTGAAGATCCAAACCTACTTCCTTTGCTTGTTGAATTTTCAAATATATTTGACAAACCGCATAACCTACCTCTTATCGGTCGGCATGATCATTGTATACCGATTCTTCCGGGCAAACCTCCAACAAATACTCATCCATATTGGTATCTACATCTCCAGAATGATGAAATAGAAAGGATTGTAAAAGAGATGCTCGAAACATGAGTTCTATAGATCCTACCAAATTTCGGAGTGCATCGGAGCGGTAGCATACATATTGAACTTACCCGTCAGCTCCCAAATTCATCTTGTCTTCCATGTGTCGTGTTTAAATCTCAAGCTGGGACAAAACGAGATATCCCAAAGCCATCTACCAAATATGACTACCCAAGGAGAACTCCAGACCCAGCTGAGTGCCATTATTGATCAACGGATCATGACTCAACGATGACGACCTACTACTGAAGTGCTAATATAGTGGACGAACCTACCAGCAGAAGATGCCACTTGGGAGAACTATGACGACTTGAAGATTAAATTCCCAGAATTCATGGATCATCAGCCTTGAGGACAAGGCTCATTTGAAGAGGGCGGGTCTGTTAGGACTCTAGCTAGGAGAGTCATAATAGAATTTTATTAAAAGGGGCATTCATGTAAAACCTACCTAGCCAACCCCTATTAAAGAGGTGAAGAGGCCGGCTTGGGTTAGGGTTAGTGGGAGGTTGCTTCTTAGAGTACGAGTCTTATTAGGAATTGGTTAGAAGTAGGAGTCCTATTAAGAGTTAGGGTTTAGAAGCCCTATAAATAGTCATGTATTATCCTCTTTTAACAAGCAATAGATGAATTTTCTTAGCAGCCTTTGAGCAGCACCTGGAGGAAGGAACCCCTATAGAGTTCCAAGGAGGCCGATCCCCTAAAGAGATCAATCCCAAGCTTAGAATCTGTAAGGGTTCTAACCAAGGTATGCAATTTCGTACCATACCGGAGTTTCGGCGTTCGCTCGGTACAGTACGAAACTATATACCGAGTGGTATACCGTTCGGTATACCGCTCAGTATATATATATATATATAATATTATATTATAAAGGCGACGTCGCATCGTCTCGACGATGTCGCCTCATTTATATATATATATATATGATTATATATATATTTATATATAAATATTCTTTATAGGCGATGCGACGTCGCCTGTTATAAAATAAATAAATAAATAAATATATATATATATATATATATATATATATATTTATTTATATTTTTTTTCGTTTCGCCCGGTAACGGGCGGTCCGTGTACCGGTAAGCTGACGGACCGGTACGTACCACCCGTACCGGGCGGTATTATTCGAAATTACATACCTTGGTTCTAACATACTGCTATTCCTTGCTTACTAGTAATCTTTTTCATTGTCAGTCCCAAGCCTGAAAAGGGAAAACATAACATTGGTACTGGTGTTATTATAGGTAAAGAGTCTAAAGAAAATGATATAGAGGTAAAACAAAGTTGGTGATATAATTTCACTATCGAAATTTTTGTTTGCAAAAGAGGTGCTGATTGTTCTAGGGTCGAGATGTTCAAATTGATGAGGAACTTTATAAAAGTTTAAGTTGGAGCTCTGAAGGATCTCTCTAGTAAGTGAAAAACACTCAACCAAAGAGGAACTCAATGGTCATATGAACAGTTTCAAAATGTCCAAGGAGGCTGTGAATATATGGGAAGCAACAAAACCAAAATCATAATATTAGATTTAGCTATATCATATGATTTTGTAGAAGAGATGAACATTGGATTACTTATAAATGTGTATAAATTCCTTATCTGCTTAAAACCAGTAAAGGTGTTTAAAAAGGCAATCTTTTCTTAGTTTGTTGGTTTTATTTTGGGTTATATATTCATTGATTCATATCCACATTGCAAAATTGGTTAGGAGACTTGATCAAAGGCTATTTGTCTTTATTGGTTTTCACCGAAATTAAGGTGAGTTTTGTTGAATTCCATGTAGTCGCCTTGTAGAGTTTATATATTATAAGCCAAGTACATAAATGACTGGATCATTGTTTAAATTAATCTATTTATTTAATATGACTTTTGTAACTCGGAAACATTTTCAGTAGTTTAATTTTTGTGGTCTATCCTTTGGTATAGTTTGTTCACTTTCATTCTTCTACTTAAAACCTAACTGCCTCTTTTTCAGCAAAATTATACCATTTTAAGTGAAGCTGATATCCGCCAGCGACAAGAGGAGGACATAACCCAGATATGTGCTATACTATCTGTTTCACGGAGTGCAGCGTGCAACCTTCTTTGTCACTATAAGTGGTAACAAAGATAATATCCAGCACTCATTAGAATTGCATGCTTTTGATTGATACTGTAGATTTCTGTGGTCCCAGTTCTTTTTGGCATCTTTGTTACAAACTTTTCTTTGTGTATGAGTGAGTTAACTCAAAACCACACAATATTTAGTAATATTTCCATTTCTAAGTGTTTTCCATTGATAAATTTCAACTTGTTCATGAATGTAGTAATCTGTTTCAATTATTCTTTTAGATTATTTAATATGAATTTTGTCATCATTGATAACGAGACAATATTTGATGATTTAGCAAGTGATTTCTTCGGATATCTGTGCTTACATCTTCAGATGTCATTTTTGCAGCATTTTTTTCACCTGTGCCGTCAGTTATCCGTTCAAGCTGCATAATATTTTGCATACATCAATATGGGGATATGTTAAACCCTTCCAATTTGGCAAGTGATATATGGCTATTGATTTGATAAGTTGATAGCCAAAATTGGATCTCTGCCAACTGTTGCAGAGTTATATCAGTTTTCCTGATTTAATATCTCTATTTGTTGTTGAAGCATCATACCATTTGTCTATATACTTGCAACATATGTGAATGATTGGATTTTTTTGTTTCAGTTTTGAATTTCTTTCATGCTTCTTTTATTGATTATGCAGGAATGTCAGTAAGGTGCAGGATGAGTGGTTTGCAAATGAAGAAAATGTATGCAAGGTCGTTGGCTTGTTGCACAATCCTGTCAATACTTCAAATAGTAGAAAAGTATGCATCTTTTTTACTTTTGATGTTCTTAAGGTTCCATACACGGAATGCATAATCATTATCTGCGTAGCTATATGATCAACCTTTTCCCACTTTTTCTTTTGTAAAATTCAGTATGCTAATGCTATTGTTTTGTGGCAGCTAAATTGTGGTATATGCTTTGAAAGCTATGATCGTTCTAAGATGAGTGCAGCTTCTTGTGGGCATTATTTCTGCAATGCATGCTGGAAAGGTTGGTTCATCTACAAATGGTTCAATTTCAGTTAGCTGTCATCTTGGATTTTTTTTTTGTCCACAAAATTCTGTTATTTTAATTTATTTTGTTCATGATTTGCTCTTTTTGTATTATTTGATCTCACATATGCTAGTTGGTTTGCAAAATGTTCCTAGAACTACCATCATTAATTGCTCAAGTCACTAGTAAGTAGTAAACACTATTGTTATAAATTCAGCTCCAAATTGGGGTTTTTAATGCTTTGATTTATTTTTTGGCACCCTGCTTTGGTTCAACGTCGTGAGAGGAAAATTAGGAACATTAAGTTGGTTTATAAGGTTGGAATGGTCTACTACTATAAACTTAAATATTTTAGACTAGTAGTTCAGGCTATCAAGTTAATGGATCGGTTCTCTCATCAGGATGGGTTATGATAAATTGTTTTAGAGCTGCCCTAGTACTATGCAAGCTGAGTGGCTTAAGTAGAAAAATATATATATTTGTGGATGGAACTAGAGCAACATGACAGTGAAGTCATCATTGGGTTGGGCATTCTACTAGATATTTCTAGTCTATCTTTAGGTCTTGACTAGAAAGTCAGGCCTTAAGGGAGATTGTGACACCCCAGTTCAGTCCCACGTTTTGGGTGAGAGGGGAGTTAGTTTATGACACCTGATGGTGTACTGCAATTAACATAGGACCAATCATTTTGGGCTAGTAGTTCATACTTACCAAGACAGTGGATCAGTTTTCTCAATGGGTTAGCAGTGACACGTTTTTATTCTCTTACCTTATTTTGAGTCACTGCTCTATAATGCAAGTGTTTCAACTGCCAGATCCATACAGCTTATGCTGAACATACATTGCAGGATATTTTCTTTCTATTTGATACTACAAGAATTTTGCATTTAATAATAGGAGAAATAGTTAGCTCAGTTTCCTCGAGTCTTATAGTATATTTACATCGAAAACTTATCAATGGGCAAGTAATCAAATAATGACCTCCTTTATGTATAGCATACATGACTTGTGATATCATATATATTTGTGTTAACAAATTTATAATCCAATATGTATTTTGAAGTTTCTAAAGTTGACTTAGGTACTGATTTTAGTTGCATATATTTTGGTGTAAGAAAATCAACAATATGCCTTTCCTGTTTAATCTAAATCATCTGAACAGGGTGCAAAGTTTTAGAAGTCTTATAAAGAATTTAAGATAAAAGAGGTGAGAAGAGTAACTGAAGATATGAGAATGTGTCAGGCTCTAGTGAGGCAGAATTGAAACATATTAGAGATAACTTTGTTAAGTTAACATTTGATCTCTAATTTGAAGATTAAACTAAGGACACAACACGGGAAGGGATGTACTTATATTATATAATGTTAGTATATTAAGTGTTTTGTGGCATTTAGGTGAACTTCTATGTTCATCTGGATACTTCATTAGTTAATTTACTGGTCACTAGGCAATTCTAAAATGGCATCTAAGTTTTGGTCCTTTGTTAAAGCATATCTTTGTTACTGCATCACAAGCAGACAATATTTTAATTTTATTGCAGTTTCTTTTTCCCGTGATATTCATCCTCTTTATTTGGACCCAGTAGCCCTTCCTGGCTCTCAACATCTAGATGAATGTACTTGGTCAAATCATTCTTCTACTGGTTGCTTAATTAAACAACCATTCTTAGAAGTCTGATCCTGTAGTATTTGTCCCTAGGTTACATTTCCACATCAATAAATGAGGGCCCTGGATGCTTGATGCTGCGTTGTCCTGACCCATCTTGCAATGCTGCTGTTGACTGGGACATGATTGATAGACTTGCTGGATTTGAAGAGAAAGAAAAGTATGCACGTCATCTTCTTCGTTCATATGTTGAGGACAGTAAAAAGGTGCATCTATATTCCTTGAATTGTTTATGACTAGTATAAGAAACCTTGATAGCAACGTTGATGCAAAAAATTGCTATTGGCAATTACATCCTGAATTCCTAGGCATTCTTCTTGAGAAAGCTAAAACTGTAGTTTCTTTTTTGTATTTCACAAGTGTCAGATGCAACATGATTGGTTTGGTTTGTGCTGTAGGGTCATTTTAATTTCTTAGATATTTTTCATGGAAAGTAAATGGAAAAACAGTTACTGACTCCATAGTCCCATCGTTCCATATTCATGTTAACTTTCTTCCTTGAGATATATCAAGTTTCTAGGAAGAAAGATTTCATTTGTGATACAGCAAACTAGTTTATATCTATTGGCAGATAGTATGCATTTTGGAATGTTCATGATCCATGTTTATTTATTTTCCTGGAAGCACATGAGATTTGTAGATGTAGCAGTTTTTGTAATTGATCTTTGACATCTTCCTCATCCATGCATACTGATTTTGCTGGAAGGATACAAGGTTTTGCCATCTTTAATAGTTGGATCTTCCTCCTCGTTTTATTATTGTTTATAGATAAAGTGGTGCCCTTCTCCTGGATGTGAGTTTGCGGTGGACTTTGATATCAACAGTATTAGCTACGATGTTTGTTGCTATTGTTCCCATAGCTTTTGTTGGAATGTGAGTATCTCCCAAGGATGTGTCTGTTGTTCGTCTATTACTTTTATTATGTTTCTTTTCTTTCACCATTATCTGAGACCTCTGTATGGTATGCAGTGCATTGAGGAAGTTCACCGTCCAGTGGACTGTGGTACGGTGGCCAAGTGGATTATAAAAAACAATGCAGAGTCGGAGAATACAAATTGGTAGGTTGTTGAAAGTTGCTAATGTTTTGGTCCCTTGTTTTACACAATCCACTACGTTTAAGATCCTGCTAAATTCATTGGTGTATTTGTCTTTCTTTGCTTTTGTCCATTTATGTAAATACATGTTTTAGCATATATTGGCATATTTACAAATATCTAGAGCTGATCAAAATTTCAAAACTATTGCAAAGTTACCTTCTTTCTTGCAAAACAGCCAAATATATATTGTCTATCATTTTGTATCAAATTTGAGTCTTATTTACCTTGTTGAATTATATTTTTTTTGGAAGGAAATGCTGTACTTGAATGCTGCATCTTTAAGATATGATTGTGTCATAATATATTTTTAGACACACAAACATGTGAAAGTTTTGTTATCTTTGTTTGATTTTGACATTGAAATCAAATCCTGATTAGCTGGAACTACTACCAACTTTGTTTCTTTTTTCTTTCAAGAATGTCTTTGGATGATTAGATTTATGGATTAGTATCTTGATAAATTAGTTTTGTTTTAATATGTCATGTCTATTTTATATGATTTTATTATGGGTCTGACACTCTTTTATGCATACCTGAGAAGAAACCATTACCAGAGGGATCTGAAACATGAGTGAGGACTACATCATCAGATGTCATGTGTGTTATATTCTATGCCCAACCCGGTAATGTTTAAAACTTTAGATTGGCAGGAAGGCTTTGATTGTAAGAGAAAAAAGCAGTTGTAATTATTTCATCAAGAACAAGCAGAGATTGTCAGTATATGCAACTTAATTGGTATTGCTTAATGGATTCATGTCAATTACAACATAAAAAATCTGTAAACATTTAGCAAATATCATCCTTTGTTTCTTCTGGTGTATGGGAAATGTGTCCAGGAAGAGATGAGTCTTCAAGATATATAACATATATGGTTTACAAATTTTTTTGTACAGGATTTTAGTGGGTTGTGTATAATGACTTATTTACATATAACTATTGTTTATTTAGGTTAGAGTGGTAAGATTCAATTTTCTTTTGCTTCTTTATAAAAAAGGATATACTCAATGCATGACTGGTGTTCTACTTTACATGACAAAATTGCTTCAGTTAGTTCATCTGGTTCTCATTCTATTTTTATTGTTGTGGTAAAGTTAGTAGAAAAAACCATGTTTTCCCCTCAAAGAATTCTTCTGTATATTTTGATATTATTTATGTTTAATAATTCAGTAAACAATCTTTTGCTGTCCAAAATGTTTAAGGTCCATTGTATCTCATTATCGCTTATGTCTAGCAAATACCTTTTTTTAGCAGTTTTTAATATTCTATATTATTTGATATCCTGATCTTGATGAAATTTCACTTCGTGACATTGTACCCCATGTCGATACATTATGATGTGGGTTTCTTTTTTCAGGATACTGGTTAATTCCAAGCCCTGTCCAAAGTGCAAGAGGCCAATTGAGAAAAACCAGGGTTGTATGCATATGACATGTAGAGCCCCTTGTAAATTTGAATTTTGCTGGTAGAACTTTTTCCTCCAGCATCTTGACTACTTTGATTTTGCTCTTGCTCCAACATTATTATCTTTCAATGATCCAGTCTGATGTGCATCATATTGCGCTCTTAGGTTATGCCTTGGTGCATGGTCAGAGCATGGGGCTATAACTGGTGGTTTCTATTCTTGTAATGGCTATGAAACAGCAAGGCGTGATGGGATGGTCGGTTATCTATTATTATCATCTAATTTTGTTTCATAATTGTTGTTTGTATATGCAACTCAACATTTATTGTGTAAGCCTGTTTGGAGAATCCTTGACTAACATTTTCACATCCAATCTGACTTCAGTATGATGAATCTGAAAAGAGGAGAAAGAGGGCGAAACTTTCTCTTGAGAGATACACTCATTATTATGAACGCTGGGTGACCAATGAATCAGTATGTTTAATTTGTGACCATTATTCTTGTTTCTTCATATGAATGTGTGTATGATTATACTATTCAATGAGTGGGTATATAGATGTTGTGACCAGTGAACATAGCAACAATGTTGGACTCTTTTTCATTGAATCAACATCTCACTCTCTCCCTCCCATAGCACCTCTCTACACTAACCTGTATCTAAGTTATTTAGTCCTGGTTCCTTATTGTTCTATAAATTTCTTTCTTTCTGATTGCATATTATATTTTATCTGCAGTCAAGAAAGAAGGCACTTGAAGATCTTCACATTATGCAAACTAACAAGGTAAGCGTCATTGCACCATTGGTTTCTCATTTCCCGGTACAAAAAATGATTTACCTTCATTGAGAACATAATTGTGGATATAAGATCAGTAATTGTTTAGGAAATAACATCTTTTGTAGAATAGCCATGTAAATGCAAAAGCTGATACATCTTTGTGCGTATTTCTTAAAAGGATTTTAAAACTGTGGAACTATTCCTCATCCTTCATTACCAGTAGTGCATGTCAAGATCACTTACAGTTCCACAAAAATTATATAATAATAAGCATGTCTTCATGATTTATTACTCACTACATGTCTATCATATTTTTGTGCTTTGTACTTTCTTTTGGACATCATTTTTATCCTTAAAGGAGTATTTGTGGTTTAGGACATACTAGGATTAAGCTTATAGTTGTGTTATGCTATAATCTAAGATGCCAAAATTTCAAATTAGTTATCTGATTTAGGATTTATGGAGATTTGTGTTTGAAAAAAAGCTTTTAATCAGGATGAAATCAAAATTGTCCATCCGTCTTTAGGAAATTTTTTTTTTCCAGAAATTCATTTTTGTGTTTTCCTAGAACTGGTTTCTGTTGAACTGTACACCACTTTACTCATTGTTGTGATCTCAAGGGTCTAGACCAATTTCTAGAAAATCTTACATATGTTTTTCAGATGTAAGTCTTTCTAGAAAACATACATATGAAACCTAACCTTTCTAAATCTTACGATTTAGATTTTTACTGTGTTGTTTTGCAGTGAAGCAATTTTATCAGTTGGGTTATATATGCACCTCAAAATATCCTTGCCATATTCATATCAATCTATTAGATATATATGTTGAGTTGGCCAACTGCCTCAACAGTTTCTTGAAAAGATATATATATATATATATATATATATATATTATGTTTCATTGTTTTCCATTCTACAGGACATAGAAGTAATAATTTATCATCATATATCTGTGTATATTCTTTTCTTCTTGCCAAATCTGACACATGAAATTTAATAGAATACTCTTCTGAAACAAATTGGAGATTATTTATCATCGTCAGTCTTATGTCTTGGTAATGCCTATAAGCCACAATCTAGAAAGGTTAATCTCGTCGAAGCATTATAGATATTCATTGCCCAGTATACATTTAATCTACAAAGTTTAGCAGTTGATAGTGAATGAGCAAAGGGGAATAAAGAACAGTGAATTAGTTCTTTGTGCAGAAACAATGAGTTTCTTCTTTAGTAATTGAAGTCTGAAGATGCCATTTTTTGGCCAACAATGCAATTTTTCTTGTCCTTTTCTGGAAAGAACAAAGACATGAACAAGAGGAATACAGATACAGGGCCTGATAATCGTGTTTCATATCTATGCTGATGTGATACTGTTGTAGCCTTGCAGGTGTACCATTCTTTTGTCAGAATGTTAAGTTTCAATAACGTAAGCCTGGTGGCACAATACAAATCTTGAATCATGGGTAGAGGCACAATTGATGTCATTAAGCTTTGGTTTCCATCTGGCTTCAAAAGAAATCCATAAAAAACTGTGTTCATTATTGATGTTACCTTTTCTTTTGGTCAAGCTGATCCCTGAAATTCTACCTCATCATTGTTTCCTTAAGGTGAAGAAATATGTGCTGGTGCAGATAAACTAGTGCTATGAAATCATAGCCAAAGTATCTAACAATGGGGTGCAATATGAAAATAAAATTTTTTTCACATGTTAGCATGCACTCAAGAAATAGGTTCTTCATTGCTCATTGTAGTACACAAGATGATATGATCTACTAACACATCAATTTTTTTAAAGAGCACAGATTATATGATTGTTAATGGAAAATCTTATATGAAAGAGTGACATCAGAATTGAACTTCCTTTAGTTCATGGTCGATAATATAACAGTGAACTCTATGATCACTGGTTTTCCTTCAAATGTGAATACTGGCTGTAATATAGTAATTCCGATTTATTGGTCTTGTTAGTTTATAATTTAACTTTTCTTAGTTCTCCAATTGTAAATGCTTGTGATTTTTGGTATGCACAGCTTGAGAAACTGAGTCTTAGACAAGGCCAGTCAGAGGCCCAGCTCAAGTTCATAATTGATGCCTGGTTACAGGTAAGATAAAAGATATGGAATTATCCTTGTGATACTTTGAGTTCCTTGTAATTCTGTTCTGTTATCTTGGGACTTTTTTTTTTCACTCCATTTTGTAGATAGTGGAGTGCAGGCGAGTGCTGAAATGGACATATGCATATGGGTATTACCTGCCCGAGCATGACGATACTAAGAGGCAATTTTTTGAGTATCTTCAAGGTTTATAAACTTCTCTTTTTAATTGCATCAACTGATAAGCTTATTCTTTCACATAGAGTTACCATGATGGTAGTCTTGTGCAGGTGAGGCTGAATTTGGCTTAGAACGGCTTCATCAATGTGCAGAGAAGGAACTCCAAGAATTTCTTGATGCAGATACCCCTATGAAAGGATTTGATAATTTCCGTGTGAAACTAACAAGACTAACTAGGTATGTATGTTCACCTTGTATTGTAGCCAATCTATGATTGTTTGAATCTTATGCTTTGACCTAATGGTTTCTTGGTTTCTTTTTAGGTTAATTTAAAAAAAAAACAAAGTTACCTTGTTTAGCTTCGTATGATTCTTTGTCAAAATATTGCAAGAAGCTCTTTCTTTTATGACTAAGCTCCTGTATTTATTTTTAAGGCCCTTATCGTCTGGCATTTGCTCTTATCATCATTCGTCATGCTTGCTTTTAAAGGTTTCTTCTGCATGCATTTGTTCTTAGATAGTAATTTTACTTGATGCCCAATGTGCAACATGTGAATTGTATTAACTCAGGTTTATGGCTCAATAATCTATACAGTTTTTAGTTGTTCGCCTTACGTGATAGAATGCAAATAGTAGATACTTTCGAGTTAAATTGTCTTCATTAGTAATAGAATGCCAAATGTAAATTTCTGTTTGTCTGTAACATGGGTAGAAAGATCCTCAAGTTTGATTTTAACTGACATTCAGAGAGAAACAGTAAGAAATATTGATGTGTTTGCCAGTCAATCTAATTCCTGATTTTAAGCTATAAATGTCATGAAATCGAAGCATGGCATTTCAAAGCTTTTCTACTAATATATTGTTGCTTTTAATAAAACTGCATCTGTAACTGGTTTCTTTTTTATTCTGTTACTCAGTAAGCAGCAAACTTGAACTGTATACCTTCATTTTGTGTTTGTGCACCAAACAGTGTGACTCATAACTACTTTGAGAACCTTGTTCAAGCGCTAGAAAGAGGGCTGATGGATGTAGATTGTTCGGACCCTCAGACCAGCAGCAAAAGTTGTTCCAGCAGTCCTGGCAACATGCCTGGGAAAATGAAAAGTAGCAAAGCAACTGAAGCAGATGATCCCAGCTAGACATGGATCCCTCATTACATCACTATCATATCTTTCTGGCCCTGCTTTGCACTCGTCATGATGCCAGTTCTTTGATCACATACTAAAAATAAAACAAATTCTTCGGATCTTTTTGTGCATCACCGTCTTTTGTGTGCACAATAAACAGCCCCTGTTGTAATGTGGAAAATTGTACATGATGTGGAACCGAAAAGGCTATATATTCAACCTGAGGTCCCAAAGCATGAAGTATTGGGGAGTAGGGAGAGAAATAAGTTGCGTATGAACAGTAGAGACATCTTAGTTATCAGGTGATTTCTGTATATATCTGTATATACATTCTTGAGTGTTTAGATACACAGTTTTACTTTTTATTTTGTAGTACAATCTAATGTTAAATATGGTTTCAGCAATTACTCTGTGGGTTTTTAGATTTGTGTATTATTTTGTATGGTGATGCAGATTCCCCCTGTGGGGAAAATTTTACTACTTGCATTATTTGTTTGGGTTAAATCTTCCAAGCTTGTAATACTGGATCATTGGTCGATCCAAAACAACCTTTATTTTTTTATCATTGGGTCAGATTGCATGTTTAATTAAAAAAAAATTAAGATATATAAAATAAGTTAAAATTATAGACCTTATTGAAAATTGTTTTTTCTTAAAATATCAATATTACTAAAAATAGAAAAAAAAAAAAAAAAAAGGTCGGGGGGGCATGTGA